CTCTCTCTCTCTCTCTCTCTCTGCTTATGCAACTCCTATGCAGAGCGTTGTCATGGCAACCTGGTGCACTTTTAATAATGGTGCATTGAATCTGGTCAACGAGGCCTCAGTCTCCAAGGTAACGTAGCCATCGAAACACACACACACCTGTTCTTTCTCGTCAGTCCATCATGAGCCCCTCTCCTCAACATAACCTTAATCTAATTCCACTGTCGACACAGCGAACACACGTGCAGCGCTCTGTGCACTGGGCCTGCTGCTCTTCACACGAGCTTTGAACAATCCTGTCTGTTAATCTCTGGTTGTCTCCTTATCTGTTTGCACAAGAACATTTTCTTCTCACTGACCTTCTTCCCATCAAAACATACGCTCACACAACACTCAGCACTTTGTCTCACAGACGCCCGCAGGAAGTGACGTCCCTTAAAAGGCCCATTAAAATAAATCAAATTATAAAACGCAGGTTAAACAAAGTCAGATTTCCACCACAGATATTTTGAGGCAGTGGAAAGTGATCAAGCTTTCAACCAACAAAACGTATTCAAATATATTCTGCTCATAGTCAGGCTGATGATTTTAGTGTAATTACAGTTCACATGCTCTAATGTTCAGGACATGACAAATATACAAACACACACACAGACAAGGAAGCAGCTGTTCTACAGAGCATCATCGATGAGAGTCAGTGAAAAACATCTGTTCACTCACACGTCTCAACCTGTGACTCAGACTCAAGTCACATTTAAATAGTCTGACAGAGTAAGGAGCCACAACGACCTGCAGGAAACACCAGGTTTTCATCAGACTGTGTCTGTTACAGATGATGAATCTTCAGACAAACCTGAAAAGAAAGTGTTGTTAGAGATAAGAGGCCGGGGTGTTGAGGAATGAGACATAAACAACTTGAACTCCTGATATAATCCTGATATAATCCTGATGTAAACTCTTCATTCACAGAAACGTCTCTGCAGCTCGTTGAGATGAAGATGTGAAGCATTCGAGAAAGAAATCGTCATATTTCACCGTCTTGTATGATTTTATCCCCAAAGATTAAATTCAAATGTCACATAAACACCAGTGATGAGACAAGTTCAAAGTTTAGAGATGGAAATAAACTGAAGATAAGAACCAAACTGAACGAGCAGGTTTTGATCCTGTGACGTCTCTGATGGTTTGTGTCATGTCGATGTTTTAACGATCACAACATCAGATTTATCATTAAGATGTAAACACAAAGGTTAAATGTCCCGGGAGAGTAAATGTGTGTGTGTGTGTGTGTGTGTGTGTGTGTGTGTGTGTGAAGTAGTCCTCTGCAGTGGAGGCTGTTATGTAATCGTGAGCATTAATTTAAAAAAAGGGGGGGGGCTCCACTGCAATACTGAGGAACATCATTCAACACACAGACACACAACAGAGAGACACACACATCTTCTCATTTCAGTTTCATCCTGTTTGCTGGGTCCTTGTCACTGATGCGTTGCTCTCTCTCTCTGCGCTGCCAGAGGAAGATACGAACATGGGGGGGGGGGGAAGCAGATCATATGATGCATGAGGGAGAAGGAAGGAAGAGACGAAGGAAGCAGAGACACGTGAATACATGATGCAGAGAGTCACAGACTCAGAGGGCGTCAGAGGAGGAGAGTTTCCACCAGGAAAAAGAAACTGAGCAGAAATCCTGCACCAGTGTCTGCAGGATGAAGAAGAGAGGGATGGAGAGGGATGGAGAGAGAGAGAGAGAGAGAGAGTGCAGCGTTCAGCCCCGTCTGTCAAACAGCAGCAGAGGATCCACGTGTGTTCACAGCTTGTGTTCACGCATTAAAGGAGAAGTGATGTTTTTTTCTGTTTCTTTCCTCCAAAGAGTTTCAGTTTCATTGTGATGTCAAACATTCTGCGGAGGTAAAAGTCCTCAGTGGTTGTGTTCAGCTGTGGCTGGAGGTTAATGAGAGGATAAAGGGATGAAGAGAGAAGAAGACAGGATATATTAATATAACCTGTACTGTGTTATATTACTGGTATCTATACATTCCACAGTATCAAGCTCAGTAGAATGACGTGAAACAATTCAACAGATTTTTAATGCAAATCACATAAAGTAAACTTGAAGAATGTAAACTATATTAAAATGCAAAGATATGTTCAAGTTTAAAGGACTTAATTTAATTCAATATTTGACCATTAACAAGTTCAGTTGAATTTGATTTGGACACGGAAGCTGTGACTGAGCAGAAGTGTGTGTTCACAGAAACTCATTATGCAACATCAGGACTGAATCCACTGCAGGAGGTTTCACACGCAGCAGCGACGCAGCTTCCAGAAAACTCGTTCCCTGTTCGCCTGATGACAGAGAGCTTAAAGCTGGCAAACACTAATTACCATTTCTAATTAGAGGGACAAAGAGAAACAAAGTCGATGGGATTTGATTTCACAAGCAGAGGGACGGGGGGCGTCACAGCTTTAAGCTCATTTCGGCCCCAGACTGAGGCGAAGGGGTCGTTTATATAACTGACTTACAACTGAGGCTTTAGAGTTTCATCAACTAAAATCTTACTCAGTAACACTGAGGATGAAGTTTTCAGTCTGACACTGTGGAGCCACCTTCACACTCCCTGCTGTGTTTAGGAACTATACTTCCCATGATGCTTTGCGTGAGGTAAACAGGAACTGTAGTGTTGCCATAGATGTCCGAGCTTCAACTTGAACCAAATCTATAAACGTTTATCTGGAGGTAACTCAAATCTGCAGAGTCTTCAAAACTCATGTGACAGCGCCCCAAAGTAAAGCCAAGTGTCTCATTTGCCCCCTGGTGGCTGACTGCAGTATAGTTCTCCTCCTCCATGTAAGCAGATGGGACACACAAACACACACACACACAATGTAAACAGTTTCAGTTTCTTTGTTGTCATGGTTTCCTCAGCTTCCTCTCTGCAGCAAATCAGGAGATGAATCTGCAAATGTGTTGATAATTGATGAATCTCTTCATTGTGAGTGTTTTCTGCTTTTATTGTTCTGCATCACTGGAAAGTGAAAATCTTTGAGCTCTGAACTGTTGGTTGCACAAACAATGACATTGTCTTTAATTCTGGGAAACTGAAGAACACTTTCAGTATTTTTTGATATTTCAGAAACTTAACAAAGAAAACAAGGAGCAGATAAAAAACCAATAATCAAAATAATCAGTTGGAGCCATAAAGTGTTGACGACAATATTCACTGTTGTCGGTTGTATTGATGTCATTCCTGCCCCAGTGAAACAATTAAAGACCGAAGCATTAACACTAAAATTTAAAAACTGAGTGAAGAACCGTGGCTGCTGATGGAAACTTTGGCTCTATCAGGATTTGAACCTTTGACCTGTCGGTTAACAGGAAAAAGATTTACATTTTTTAATGTAGCAGAAAAATAAACCTGAAATAGAAAATAAGTGAGTTTGTTTTCTAACATTGATCAATTAAAAAAAAAGTCCATGAACAAAAAGTTGAAACATTTCTTTTTTTTTTTTTTTGCACATGAAATAAACACCGTCTGCTCAGAGGTTCCTGGGATGTGAAAAAAAAAAAGTACCATTGAATCATCTGTTTGTCTCATTCTTCTGAAAATAGGATAAAGATATGATCTCCTCCATCGTACACAAGCATCCTTCATGTATCGACTCTTCAAGTTTCAGCATCATCACAACTCATTTTATTTATTTTCTCTATCTTTAACGTACCGTATTAAAAAAGTTTGACATGCACATTCTCTCCCTCACAGTCTCAACGTCGAGCTGCGGATGGAGCGAGTTTGACAGAGAGGATTTTGGGTCAAGTAGTTAATTATGAAAATGAAGCGTCCATAACTGCCGCTGGTTAAAATAAGTTCAGTGGGAGTTTTTTCTTCGGTAAAAGAAATTCCAGTTTCACTCTTAAGTTACTGTAAATGATTCGATTCAAGCTAAAACCTAATGAAAGTTTAAATGTTTGGAGCCAAAGAAAATGTTGCCGGTTCAATGGATCGACTGAAGAAACGTGACAGAGTCTAATCTTTGCCTCTCGTGTCAAACTCAGTCCGTCGGCGGCTCCGCTCGTACCAGTGTTTCCTCATTAGAATTAATATTAAGATTCTGTAGCTCACAGATTTCACTACAGACACGACACAGAACCAAACCTCCTCTGCTCCGAGTCAAAAACTACACAAGGTGACAACCGACTCACATCCTAACATCCCCCAGACACACACACACACACACACACACACACACACACAAAGGCTGATTTAAAAAAAACTATGAAATGAAAATCATCAAATGCACTTTTAGAGGATGATAGAATGAGTCACACTGAAACCCACAGATGATTGACAGGAAGATGTCTCACACACACACGTACGCATGCATGCGCTCACACACACACTCACACACAGTCTGCAGCAGAGGGCGCTGGTTGGCTGTTGTGGTCCGAGGCTTTTAAAGACAAGGTAGAAAAAAAACACTGATAAAAAAAACCAACAAAGAAAAAGTCCCATGAGTCTTTGGGCTCTGCTGAAACAATCTCTCTCCCACATCAGGTCGAACTGAGGGGGCGGTGATGTCCGCAATGCAAGGACATCACGTGATCGCTGACCAACAGATGATGTCACTCAGTTAGCTTGCAACTTCCTGTCCGAGTCCAGTGGAGTGTTGAAAAAAGAAGTTACAGGAGCAAACTGAATGACGTTCGTTCTCCCTGTGAGGGGAACAGGGGGGGAGGGGGCGGGGGAGAGAAAGGCTGGTAATGTAACCCAGCAGCCATCGCCACCTCCCGAAGAAAATAGGAAGAGAAAGAGAAAGGAAGGAGGGATGGAGAGAGAAGGAGAGAGAAAGAGAGAGAGAGAGAGAGATAGACCGACAAATGAAGGTGTGCAAGGCTCGCTAGCGGTTGTTCTTGGCGGCTTCCTTGGCAGCCACAATGAGAGGAGTCAGACTGGAGAGAGGCTTCGCCATCTTCAGAAACTGATGCTGAGAGAGGAGAAGAGAAAGAAGAGAGGGAAGAGGGAGGGAAGGTGAGAAAAAGGAAGGAAGAGGAGGAAAGGGAACAGGGAAAAAAATCAGTTCACTGTTTAAAATGAGTTTGATCAGATTCATTATTCACAAGTTTTAGGGTTAAGTACCTGCAGAAGCTCTTTAGCCGACCCTCTCTTCTCTACGTCCATCTCCAGACATCGGTTCAGGAAGTCTCTGAATATCGTCGACAGTTTCTCTGGGTTCTGCAGCTCTGGCGTACCGTTAGTTGCTATGAGATACAGCGCCTAGGCAACACACGTCAACAACATGTTAGTGTGTATCCTAAAAGTGTGCAAACACATAAGTCTGTACGTATTTCTATTGTGTCCGACCTTCAACCCTTTACGAGACATTGAAAGTACAGCTGCAGTGATCTATAGAATTCTATCATTATCATCACTGCTCAGTTCGAAACATTTCCACCTTCTCTCTTGAGCTTGACGAGTAAAATAAGAAAAAATATCTAAATCACCTGTTCAGCAAAATGAATGACAAATAATTTAAATTAGTTTAAGGACTTTAAATGTTCCCAGGTGTGAAGGTCAGAGCTGAAGGAAATTCATGTTCCCTGAAAAGATGGAGGCGCTCTGGGATGTGTTTAACTATTGTGCCATCCAGTGGAGGTTTTAAGAATGACACGAGGAGAAACGCTGCCATGATACATTTGTCATCCTGACTCTCAGACAACTTCTCCTTCTCCGCCTGTTTAAGATCTTTCCTGTGCGGACACGTCGTCTTCCATCACACTACAAATCAAACACAGTCTCACCCTCAGTGGATTTTCATTCAGGTACGGCGGCTCTCCCTCCACCATCTCTATGGCCATGATGCCCAGCGACCAGATGTCCACTTTGGGACCGTACGCTTTACGGGTCACAACCTCCGGAGCCATCCAGTATGGCGTCCCGACCATGGTGCTGCGCTTACTCTGCTCTGGGGTGATCTGAGCGCAGAACCCAAAGTCAGCTGGGAGGAGGAGAGACGACAAAATGAGTGTTTGTTTGTATTTACCATCAACGTGTAAAAGTCTCATTGATTTCAAAACAGAGTTCAAATGAAGTTCAGTCGATGAATGAATGAAAAAACATTTAGCATTCTTGTGTCTCATTAAAACAACAGAATGAGAGCCCCCCCTGCTGGTTCAAATGAGGAACTACAACAACAATCCTCTGTTAAAATAAAAAATGATGCGGCTGTGGACTGACTGAGTTTGACGGAGCCGTCCATGCCGAGCAGGATGTTGTCGCTCTTGATGTCTCGATGGATGACCTGGTTCGAGTGGAGGAACTCCAACGCCTGGAGACACTGAAGGGAGAGAGAGAAGATAATGAAGTGGTTTGAAATTAAAAAGAGAAAAACAAGAAAAGCAGAAACGGTAAGCTCCCTTAACCAGCAGCTTTTTTAAAACCCCAACCCCATCGTGACACCCCCATCACAGTCAAACTTTGGGAAACGAACCAGCTCCAGAGAGAAAGAGAAACTGTTCAATTGTTGTCAGTTCTTTTTGTTCACGTCAGAATCCTGGCGTCTCCTCTCTCACCTCTCGACACACGGCCGCTATCTGGGCTTCATCCATGCAGGTTTCTGTGACGACGTCAGTCAACGAACCTCCGGCCAGGTACTCCATCACAACCCACAGCTCGTCACCCACCAGGTAACTGTGACCGACAATAGATGCAATCAAATATTAATAAATACCAATGATACACACATTTCAGCATCTGTGACATTTTAAAACCTTGAGATCATTTTATAAACTTGGCCTCAGAATCAGATCGTTTTCTTTACACAATAATCTGTCGATTGTTACTCGTGTATAAATACTTTCAGGTCTCCTTGTCTTATTCTTTTAACATTTCATCCTGTAATCTTTGTCGTTTCTAACTTTTAGGTTTGTTTTTCCAGAGTTTAAATGTATTGATTGTTATCACAGTTCTTGTCCTGTTTCATCCTCATCTCTTATCTGCAGTTTATAAGTTGTATATTTAGTTTTTGCTCTGAGAAATTGTCTTTTTTCCGTCTCTGGTGAAACATTGGATCATTCTGTGTAGATGAAGTTAAATGACTGGTTAAGTACAAAGACGTGACTCTGATGTAAGAAAACAGGAATAGTCCTTCTTCAGTCAGTCCTTTTAAAAATCCCACAATAAATCAGGGGCAGTGAAAATGTTTCCACGGCGATGACAAGGTTATCACCATTCTTGCATGAGCCTCAATGTCTCCCAAGACAAACAGGTAACTACGGCAACCAGACACCCTGTCCCCTCCACTGGGGGGAGGTGTTACCCGGAGGTTGCCATCACGACACTGAACCTGAAAACCACTCGGTACTTTATATTTGGAATCTAGTATTTTAGTAATACTTTACACATGTGTACATTATGTAGAGCTGATCAACTACAGATGTGTGTGTGTGTGTCTCTAACCTGTCCAGGTAGTTGACAATGTTCGGGTTTTTATTTTCCCTCATCACCAGAATCTCATTGATGATCAGTTCTTTCTTCGGCTGCTGCTGCAGGTTCATCTGTTTGATGGCAACCTGCGAGAAAAGAAGAGAAATACTGAAGAATACATTTATTCCAAATATAAACGGCACTGATGACTGTAGTCAGGATTCATACACATTAAAATACACCGAGCAGAACTGAAAAGAAACTGAGACGCTGCAGAACGTGGGGGAGGGAGAAAAGAAAGAGGGACAGTTTTATTAAGACAAATATCGGGACATTGAAAAAAAGAAAACAAAGAGGATGAAAAGGAAACGAAGACAGACGAGGGACAGGCAGTCAGACAGAAGAGACAGCGAGGACGGGAAATATTTAAATCCATCGCCAGTGAAAGGTTGTTAGGCGGCCATTAAAAAGACTAATCCTCAGAGAGGGAAAGTGAGGAGGATTAGTCCGACAGACGAGCTGCTTTAAATTTCACCTGAAAGACAGTTGTTGAAGTCAGAGTTAAATCTAGCTCCTGCCACAATGTTCTCCCTGTGACTGCTCTCCTCCCTCCAGTCGCTTCCCTTCTCTTTACCTGATTCACACCCTGGATGAACCTTTAAACTTCCTGTCAAACCTGTGACGTCCAGCAGCCGCTTCTTCTGTTTCTTCTATTTCTGCAGCGGCGTCGTCCATTAACACCAAAAGCTCTGCAGGTTCAGTGCAGGTCTGAGAGCAGCTTCCGTCTGGGAAATTAATTCTAACTCACGTCAGCATCGTGGTTTAACTTCATTTCACGGCCGTCTTTCAGGATTAACTCTGTCACCATGTTAAATAAATTCCTCCTTAAACCTCGACAGTGTCTCTTTTCTTTTATTGTGGTTTCTCTATCCAGTCAATCCTCTACTGCTCAAGGGAAAAAGTGAAATGCATTCTCTCCTGTAGATATTATCCTAAATGTAAAGGAGCATCGGAACCACAATCTTTGTCTTTGTAAACATTTTTAGTTCTATGGGATTTTGAGCTTGAACGTCAGTCAGTGAGTCTGTCCAGCATTTTAGTCCAGACAGAAAGAAGATGGACTTCCATGTAGTGTCTCTGTCTCTGATTGTTCCTTCTGTGTTCTTCTGTTAGCATCACCTTTGTGAGTGTGTAGCTGAAGGAGGACAGAGAACAGATGATTGTAGGAAAGAGAAAATCTACACATCACTACAAACCTCCTGTCCCGTAGCGATGTCGATGGCTGTGTACACCGTCCCAGACGCCCTGAGGACGGACAGAACGTCAATCATTTATTTGCCAGACGAAAACAAGAAGTACCAACATTTCAGAAACAATATTTATAACAGTAGCATTTAAACTGGTTTTCATCTCATCATTCAACCATTCACATTTATGACTCACCCCTGGCCGATCTTCTCAAACCGTGTATATTTCTTCTTGGGGTCTCCGACACTTACAATCGTCCCTGAGGTAAAGAAACAGAGAGAGAGAAAGAAAAACTCACTTATTGATGGAAACAGACGGTAAACAACATCTGCAGGAGAGCAAGAAAAGGAAACCCCGGCCCTGTGATCCACAGCAGAATGATACTGAGACGTTCACTGAATGTGGATGGATAGAAGACTGATAGTGTCTTTCTATCCATCCTGATTCTACTCTACGTTCATCACACTCGGGTCAATGCAGCATGCTGACTGGAAGAGAGAGAGCAGAGAGAAACGACAGGCAGAGCAGAGAAGATGGAGAGAAGGAACGAGGGATGAGATGAAAAATGAACGAATACAACTAAACGAGAGAGAGAGAGAGAGAGACAGAGAGAGAGAGCAGAGAAAAAACAACAGAGGAGAAGACAGAGAGAAAGAACAAGGGATAAGATGATGATAGGTAGGAAGGATGGATAGATAGATAGATAGATAGATAGATAGATAGATAGACAGATAGATAGACAGATAGA